TCCACTCACCTCAGCCTCCCAAAGGCGCGGGATTGCAGGCTGAGCCACCTAGCCCGGCTCTTTCTTTTTTTTCTTTTTTGAGTGGGAGTCTCACTCTGTCTCTCAGGCTGGAGTGCAATGAATGGCATGCATGCTCATGGCCACTGCGACCTCGACCTGCTGGGTTCAGGCGATCCTTCTACCTCAACCTTCCAGGTAGCTGGAACTATGGGTGTGCACCACCATGCTCAGCTAATTTTTTTTTTTATTGTAGAGACAAATTGCCCAGGCTGGTCTCAAACCCCTGAGCTCAGGCAATCCTCTCATCTTCGCCTCCCAAAGTGCTGGGTGACAGGCATGAGCCACCGTACCTGGCCATGGAGCGTTGGGAAGACATGGAGAGATAGTCAGTGCTGGTTGTACTTGTGTGTCGCATCAGGCACATGGATCATCCGGACGGGTGAAATGTCCAGGACCCAAAACAAGGGCTTCTGCAGAAGCTTCTCTCCTCTGTGCCCTGACAACGACAACACGTGAAGTCCTCGAGAGGCAGCCATGCCTTGACTGACATGGCAGCTGACATTGACAACCAGAGAAGACTGAGCGCTGAGGCCAACAAGCCCAGGTGACCACGTGGCTCCATAAGATGGCCGCACAGGCGTCCAAGGAAGCATTTCAACCGTGGAGAGTGAAGAACCCAGCACTCTCCCCATCCCAAGGGCCAGAACTCTCATCATTGCTTAGTCAAAGCCATGTCTACCAGAACTTTAATGCACATGGAAGAAACCCAATTTAATTTTGCTTTGGTACCCATTTTTGGTAGTGATGCCACTGAAAGGTGGGTTCTCTTACCTGTTCGTTTTCTAAGGCTGCTTGAAGTACCACAAACCATGGCTTAAGCGAGAGAATGATTGTCTCCCAGTTGCAGAGGCTGAAGTCTGAGATAAGGTGTCAACAGTGGGAGCCTTCAGAAGGGTGTAGGGGAGATTTTGGCCCACGCCTGCTCTTACTCCTGGTGGCTTGTTGGCAGTCTTGAACATTTCTTGGCTTGTACAAGTATCTCTGTGATCTTTGCCGTCTTCACATCGTGTTCTCCGTGTGCATGTCTGTATCCAAATCTCATGGTTTTCTTTCCTTTTTTTTTTTTTTTTGAGTTGGAGTCTCACTCTGTCACCCAGACTGGAGTGCAGTGGCCGCTCCCAGCCACTGCAGCCTCGACCTGCTGGGCTCCTGCGATCCTTCCGCCTCAGCCTTCCAAGTAGCTGGAACTACAGGTGCACTACCACCGCTGGCTAATTTTTTTTTAATTTATTGTAGAGATGAGGTCTCGCCAAGTTGCCCGGATGGGTCTCGAACCCGTGGCTCAGGCAATCCATTCACCTCAGCCTCCCAAAGGTGTGGGATTACAGACTGAGCCACGGAGCCCGGCTTCTTTCCTTTTTATTTTAATGGCTTGCACCTGTCCTTCCAGCTACTTGGAAGGACCAGGCAAGTTTTTTCCTTTTTAAAGGACTCAAGTGGCATTAAGGCCCTCTCTAATGACACTTTATTTGATCACCTCTGTAAAGACCTTGTCTCCAGTCACATTCTGAGGTACTGGGGGTTAGATCTCCAACGTATCTTTTTTGGGGGGACAAAATAACACCTTAAAACACAAACTTAAGTATCTGAACTCGGGCTCAAAAATATGTCGAGATACCAGGAATAATCTTCCCTTGACAACTTTTAAGTTTTGAATGGATTTCTTTACCAAATAAAAAGCAAAAAAACACAAAACAAAATTAAAAGATTCAAGCTTTCATTATTCTTTGATGAAATGGTCTCCAATTGCCATGTATGGGGAACTTATCTGCTGCCAATGACTACATTTTTTTTTTTTAAATCTATTAGTCTGAACAATTCGGCTGAGATCGTAACAAATTAGAGATCTTTCATGCTTTAAAACTTTTTAACCATCTTGACTGTGTCCAAAACAGACTTCTGTAGTTGGTGAGGATTAGGAAAGACCTTACGTATACTTTGACATGAGGGACTTCTCCGTTTTTACAATGTAAGATTCTAAGAAAGAAAACTGACAAATGAATTCTGTATGAACTTATCTTCTGCTCTGTACTATTAAGGAAATCTTAAAGATTTCATCAAATGGAGAAATAAATGTACACTAAAGAAATAAATGCACAAGAAGTGGATCACCACTTCATTATATTAAAATCAGAATAATCAACCATAGTGAATACAGCAAACCTATAATTTGAAAATTTCGGGAATGGATACTCTGGTCTATTAAGGTCTTAAAGACATAGAGGCCTCACACTAAATGTCACTGTTTGCCAGACACACTTCCATGCTTTTTAAAAATTGATGGTAGTGATGCCAACACCCATTCCAGCTATCCAGTGTCTCTAGAGGTAGGTCATCTCATAAATCGCTTTTCTCATTTAACAGATTCTAACTTGCACTTATTCCAGTGAATTTCATTCTGAATGTGGCTTTACTCTTAAAGCTCCAAGTTTAAAACTCCATGAGTTTCTTTGCTCACAGTAAACAGAAACCTAACAATGTCTTATGAATCTTATTCTTCTTATGGTTTCCAAGCATAATTTAAAGGTTATCTGTTTTCAGGCATCAATCCATTAATTTTATTTGATCAGAATTATCTCCTTTAGTTCATAAGGTCCTGAAGTTATTTTATGGAAACTCTCCCCCCACAAACACACACACACACGCACGCACAAATAGTATTTACTATACCAGGAACCCTTCTAAGATAATGGTTAGCACTCGTAAGCACTCATAACAGATGACAGACAAGGAGATTAAGCACAGAGACGCCTATCTATGGTGACACACACACAGTAACACTGGAACTGGGATTAGACCAGGGTAGTTGCGTTTCAGAATCTGTGGTCTCAATCATGTATCATACTGCCACTCCTGAAATAACACAAGAGAATGTTTTCTTCAGTTAAATTTTATGAAAGACAAACCAAAATATAGAAATTTGAAATTTCATTTCAGCAGCCACCACAAATTATGCTTTTGCCTTATGTAAGTTATTTTATACATAGCTTTCAGAAACATACTATGTAGTTCTATCCATTTTTTTTCAAATCCAAAGAACAAGGACATAACTCATACAAATTTATATTAAATACACCTTAAAAGCAGAATTAAATTGATAAATGGAGTCAACTATTGAAAAAGTGTTATTTTACATCCATTTTGGATATCACATTTATCACAGACTAAAAAAGTAGCATACCATTTACTAGTATTTTAAAAAACTATGTTGATACAAATTAGTTTGAAAGTTCTTGAAAATTAGTCAGCAAGTAATTTTTTCCCCCACTATCTAACCATACTAACCATAATGGCAATCTTTAAAAAAGCACCACTAGTGAATTTTAGACAATAAAAACCATAAAAACAGACTGTCGGCAGAGGACACAACAAATTGTGAGAAAATTCAAAGACATCCATTTATTCAAGAAATACAATTACTAGAGTCCTTGATATTTCAATGATCATTCCACATTATAAAATATTCACATTTATTCTTTTAAGTCTACACCAAGTCATGCTGACAATCTTTTCAGATAAGCCATAACCATTTCTTCTATTAAATGCTGTGATATCCACTTTAGTTGTAAACAGAGTACTTGAGCCAAACTCAAGTACTTGCGAAAAATAATTTAAATTGAGGACAGAGATATTTTTAAAATATTTTCAAAACCCATCTGAATCAGATCCTGAAGAAGTCAGCTGCTGTAATCTAGTGTCAGACCGATGGGTGATGTGGCCACAGGAAGACAGCACATCACTATTCACAACATTTCTCATCCGCAATTTTTAAACATGCTTTCTCCAATGACAAACATTTATGTAAGTTTTAAAGGCAAAGGGGGCAGAAAGGTAACAGACATGAAAAGTTTACACTTCTACAGGTAGTTATTATTTTTTAAAAAAGGTAGACTGTCATTACTTTTCAAATAAGGAATGCCAAGTAGCTTTTCCTCCTCGAGAATATGATCAATCGTTAAGTAGCTGCAAACTGAATTACTTACTCTATTCTGACACTCCCAGTGTCACTGGGTAACTTTATAATGGGGAAAACTAGCGGTTCTCAACCCTGGGTGTCTGTTAGAACCACCTAAAAAGCTTTAAAAATAAGTGATTCTGATTTAGTTGTCACGGGATGAGACCCAGGTATCAATATTTTTTAAAGCTCTGCAGGGCATTCTAATATGCAGCTAAGGTTGCAAATCACTGCCTCATCCCATTTTGAAATACCAAGAAAATAAACAGAAATTGGGGAGGGGAAGATAATTTATATTTGTAATTTATAAATCAAACATCTAGGATATACTTACTATATGACTAGCTTTATTCATGATTCACCCATCTCCGAGCGAAAATTCCCTTCACCTCCTCACCACATTACTGTCTAGACCACTACCGTACACCTCTGCCACTGAATGACTGTGTCTTTCCTTGGTCATAATCTAAAATTCTGGGATACACTACAAAAACGGCATTAATGACAACAAACTACTGCTACTCCACAGTAGCAAAACTCCTGTATTTGGCTCCTTTAAGCTATCTTTTAAAATTATAAATAGGTGTCAACCCACACAAAGAACAGATTGTGGGTTACTTATTGCAGAAGAAAAAAAACAGCTTACTCAACTTACTAAGTTTTAACAGCAAAAGAGATTTAACTTGGCTGAAAGTTCTGAAACAGCTGAGACACCGAACAAGGAAGCTATAATTTATTATGAAATGTTGATATGTCCTTAAAAGCTATTGCAGTTGCAGCCATACTAAAATAAGATTCCTTCAGGGTTTACTTGCCCTGAAATTCAAGAATACAAGCATAACAATAATATTACTGTTTGTATATGCACCAATACCTCTCTGTAATATATAAAGCTCTACAACAAACACCTCTAATAATTTTACAATTAAATTAAAATAACTCCATACTTCTACACTACTTTGGTCTCAACATTTAAAAATCATTAATTTTGAAAATATACAATCTAACAACATGATCCTATCGATAACAAGCACATTTTGTAGTGGATTAAAGACACATTCAACCATGCAATCCAGTGTTCAATACCTAAATGATAAATAACAATGCTGATTGACTTTTATTTTGAAAAATCATTGAAAACTGGAATAATCTTCTAAGACTCACAGTGCTCACAAACATGCAGAAGAAAAGCATACATTTCTATTCTTCCAGAAGGAATGTTACAGAATGCCCACTTTTTTACAGGGTCGATAATTATGCCAAGTTCCTTATATGTTTAACTCCATTATCTTCTTTTGAACATGTCACTTTTTTTTAAAGAACGAATATTCCTTCTAAGTTGTGACTGAAAATGAAACTCAGCTCTAATTCCAGTCTTTAAGAAAACCTCAGTGACAGTCACACACTGATAGCTGCCTTTTAGTAAGGTACCGACATCCAGTGGACGAATGAAATAAAATCTCTCTCAAAATTCCCACTACATTTAAATCGTAAACAAAGACTGCATCTCTAAAGCCAACCATTTTCATGTGAGTTCCTATTTATTTTGACAGACTCTACAGATTCTTATGAATAAATCACCTCCTGATTCCTACATTTCTTAAATATATCCTCTCTTCTATTTAAAGTCAATTCTTTAAACTGAGCTAATAAGAATGTGTACTTGAAGCTAGTTAGGGAAAAGGTATAGCTTTCTCTTCTTTGCTTCTGCTATTTTCCACAAAGTAATGGGTTCATCTCTAGGAATGGATGGAACAAAAATAAGCAATGCTGTGTATTTAAATAAAAATGAATAGCATTAAAAGATTTGCAAAGATGAACTCTGAAGCTGTTTTGCACTTAAAATTTATAAATATAAATAGAAAGGGATGTAATCAATAATGCTAACAATCAAATTACATCCTTTTGCCTCAACGCTCAAATATTAAGAATACATATTTTAGCAACGATTGTTTCAGTGTCTAAAAACTTACTTTTACAAATCAGTATAAATGAATACCCATTATACATTATGCTTAAATAAAAGTAAAAAAAAGTCCACTGTGCTGAGTTATGATTTACCACTGATTATATATATTATGTGTTCAAAGTACAAAACGCAGCAAGATGTCACATTGATAGTGTAATGAACTGCTGTAATGAATGACTGTTATGTTTAATTTCTTGGAAAACTGTAAAGAAATTTCACAGATTAAAAAACAGAGTAAGCAAACAAAAAAAAAGGAGAAACTGTTACTTTTAAATAAGCAGCCAAATGAAGAAAAATTTTTTTAAAAAAAGATTAAGAATGTAAAAGTACATTTTAATATTAAAAAATTATTTTAAAAAATCTGTAACAATTTTATGACAAAATCTGCATTTGAAAAAGGCCTGTAAAAACAGCAGGACAGAATTGCCCTCATCACCTTTTGCTTTTTCTTATCAGAAAAAAGTGTATGCATCTCTGGAACCATAAAGGATGTTAAAATAGGCATTTATAAAATGGCAAGGAGAATTTCACGGGAAATCTGTTTGTGTTTTACAATCATTCGCATTGCGGCCATCAGTAGGTCACAAGTAAAACTTCTCTAGCTATAAAGCACAATGAAATATCCAGTCTTGAGCAGGATTAGGTCTGTTGCCTGCGCTTTGCTGATCTCATTTTTTCAAAGCGGGACTCCATTTCTTCTAGGACTTTGGGTGTGTATCGCACTACCAACTTGACCTTGCCTTGAGCGGCCTTCAGCAGTTCTACGGCCTTTTCATGATGTTCTCCTTCAACACTCTAGGAAAAAAAACACACTCATTAGTACCTAGGTTCTGAAAGTAATGCGAAATCCAAAAATGCTTAAAACAGCATCAAGCAGAAGAGTTTCCACGCTCTATTACTCCAACCCTGTAAGACTAAGAACTAATCCTGCTTTACCACTTTCATCAGTGTGAAACCCTCTTCTCTACATCATATTCTGCTTATCCTCTAAAACTTGTTCTTTGAGTTCCAAATAATTAGCATATCAATCCATATTCCCTATCATTTCAGTAAGTCAGAAGCAAATCACACAACTGTCATTCCATAAAAGTAAAACGAGGGTAGACTTCTAATTTAACGTACTGCCTTAACTACTAAAGAGATTATGTCATAAAAATCACACTAAGTACTGCTAATTTACATTGGAAAGAAGCAAAACACATTTAAATAGCTTTAAAATAAAGGGATCATTGTACTAAATAGTACTGCCTAAGATTCCCTCAAGAGATTTATTTTTTTTTTTTGAGTTGGAGTCTCACTCTGTCGCCCAGGCTGGAGTGCAGTGGCACGCTCATGGCCACCACAGCCTCAAACTGCTGATCCTTCCGCCTCAGTCTTCCAAGTAGCTGGCCTAGCTAATTTTTTGATTTACTGTAGAGATGAGGGCTCACCAAGTTGCCCAGGCTGGTCTCGAACCCGTGGGCTTAGGCAATCCTCTCACCTGAACCTCCCAAAATGCTGGGATTTATGGGCATGAGCCACTGCATCCAGCCTGATTTTTCTTTTAATTATTTTTTTTGAGGCTATGTTGCCCAGGTTGGTCTCAATCTCATAGCCCCAAGAAATCCTGCTGCCTGGGCCTCCCAAAGAGCTGGGATCACAGGCATGAGGCATCACATTTGGCCCCTCAAGGGCTTTCTAAGCTATGGAAGTTTCTTCGGTTTTCCCCAGGGTTCTATAACTCAAACACGCCCCCTAGTGCTCACAACACATCGCTGCAAATAGAAATAAAATCCATCCTCACCACTCCATTAACAGAAAGGAGTTGGTCTCCTCGTTTGAGGCCCCCATGTCGATCAGCAATTCCACCTGGAATTATGCGCGATATATAGATTGGAGAATTCTGTTCTTTGCCTCCCATAATATTGAATCCAAGGCCCTCTTCTGTTTTTGGTAGCTCAACCACTCGAGGATGAGAATGTCCTTCGCTGGCAGCAAATGCAGCAACAGTAGCCTGAAAAAAATTGTTTTACGTATCTAAAAACATGGCCTTTATTCACTTTAGTTCTTCTCTTTTTAAAAACTACCACCGGGACACAAACTTCTGATATCTGAATGCCCACGAATTCGCTGGTGGTTCTGAGAGGGTAAGCTAAGGTTTTCTTGAGATAACACATGAAAAGAATCAATATTCTGGGACTCTGCAGGCGATGTTGAAATTTTTCGGGCCCCTCCCGGCCCATCCAGTGCCCAGTCTGTTGTGTAGCCCCATGTGCCTGGCTGCAGCAAGCAGCCTTGCTGGGCAGATAACATCGTGCATGGCAAGGCGGGCCACCTCTGCCCAGCAGGCCCGCTGCCCCGAGCTTTAGGTCTGGAAGCCCAGCTCTTCCAGAGGTCCCTGTGCAGGGCACAACCTACTTACATCATCAGCGTGGAGGTGTCCTTAACATGCAGTCATTTGGGCTGCTATACCACTTGTACTATATACTAAATGACTAAAGTGGCAAGAAATAACTCAATGCTGAAAAAAGAGGGGTACATAGCCAACCAGAATGTTCTTCTTGCTTTAGCTAATCATCTAGTTGCAAATAAAAGCTCCCAAAGATGATGAAACATCATCTTTAAGACTCAAATTTAGATTAATATAAATGAATTCTCAAGTTGGGATTTTCTGTTTCATTTTTCTTTTGAAGGTAGGTAAACTGGTACCATTTTTTGGTGATGGATCAGGATGCATGAGCAAAAATAGGATGGTAGAAGAAGTAAGTCAAGATTTTTTGAATACTCACTCTCTTTGAAGCTCTGAAAAAGGCCTCATTGCACAGATAATGGATTCAAGGCTCAGAAACTCAGTACGGTGTGAAGGTCTTACAACTCAGGGACTACAACCAAGTTTCCATGATCTTTTCCACTCTGACAAACTACACTCACATGTTTAGGTGCTTGTATTCAACAGACAGTCTGGCATTTCTTTTTGGGAGTCAGAAACTGCCAATGAAAAATTACCTGCTATTGACTAATTCTAGTGTAAGTCATCTATTGCTGATATTAACCTACTCCAACCACATATGAGGGACACTGTGGTCACCAACTGAATTGCTTGTGGAAAACACAGCACAGAACTGCACGCAAGGGAAGGAAGAAAGCGAATAGCAACCCAGGGAAGTCCTCGGCGCCATTGTTCTGATTTGTGTGGTTTGAGGCAAGTAACCTAAGCTCAATGCTGCCTTGATAAAATGATGATAGTTCATACCTCGGAACGGTGATGAATATTAACAAATTAATGTCACAGAGATAAGATGTATAAGGTATACAACACAATTATGTGCTACCTGATATACATTATCGTGTGCAAGTACATTTTCTTTTTTTTTTTTTTGAGTTGGAGTCTCACTCTGTCACCCAGGCTGGAGTGCAGTGGCTCTGGTGATCCTTCCCCCTCAGCCTTCCAAGTAGACAGAATTACAGACGCGCGCTACCACACCCGGCTAATTTTTTGATTTATTGTAGAGATGAGGTCTCGCCAAGTTGCCCAGGCGGGTCTCAAACCCGTGGGCTCAGGCAATCCACTCACCTCAGCCTCCCAAAGGCGCGGGATTACAGGCTGAGCCATCGAGCCCGGCTCGCAAGTACATTTTCAATGCATTATCTCAGCTGCATGATGAAATATCTTATGTAAAGCCAAAGTCTTCTCAGCACTTGAGAATCTTAGTGTAGGCTGAAAGATGCATGCTAGTTTTCAAAATGAGCTTCTTAAGAATCTGATAACTACAAATTTAAACCTCTAATTCACAAAGAACTCTCACTGTTGGAAAATAAAAAGCTTTACCTTTGCAGTCGCATTAGCTCTCACTTCAGGACTGCTACTGATGTCCACAGTCTCATAGACATGCTCATAGACCTGTAGAACCCAGAGATATCTTATTTTAAATCTTACATATACCATTTTGAGAAGTTAATGAGTATTAAAACTATACGCAAATTCATGCATCTTTGTAAAATGTTCTATCAGAAATTCTAAGAATGAGAAGGACCACTTCTAATTTTTTTTTTTTTGAGTTGGAGAGTCACTCTTGTAGCCCAGGCTGGAATGCAGTAGCACACTCACAGCTACCGCAGCCTCAACCCGCTGGCTTAGGCGATTCTTCCACCTCAGCCTTCCAAGTAGCTGGAACTAGACACACTCCACCATGCTTGGCTAGACAGTTTCTAATGTTTTCTAGAGTTTATTTTCTTAAGAAATTATGAACCCAAATTTCAGTGTTATCTGACCTAATTAATTCAAATTTTTAGTAAATTCTACTGACGTGTACTCACCTCTCTCACAGCATTGCAGAACTCACTTTGAAGGACCCTCTGCAGAGCCTGAAGTTTCTGAGGTGGTACTTCCCCACTTCTTTGTAGTTTTTCCAACAATTCAATGGCTCTACAAATATCTAGAATTAAACACACACAAACATGCAGTGATAATCTTCTCTAAGTATTTGCTCAATGCCTATGTAACAGTGAAGCACTTGGGATTCATCCCTCAAGGACTAACAAGAAATACGTAGAAGACAGAGGGGGGAAAAAGTAGGAGTGCACGTGCGTGTGTGGGAGGGGGGTTGTGAGTAAGATCACACACGGAGGGTTGGAATATAAAATCTGAGGAGGCTAACTTTTACAGACTAGGAAAAATTTTACTGATGGTGCAGAAGTATAAAATTTGGAAAACAGCATCTTTGAGAGACACGGGCAACTTGAATATAAAATACCAGTATGTCACAGGAAAGGACTGGGCTCAAAGTACATGGACGTTATACTGCTTCAGAAAAGCAGGCGGTACCGTCAGAAACTAGTTGTCAGTAACACTTTACCTAATTAGCAAGATCCGTAATCACAGCGCCAACCTAAGACACAGTAGGCTAGAGAAACCCCTGTTCATCTCCCTAAGGAAGCACAGCACACATGGAGAGATGAAGTGCTCAACAACAGATACAGCTAGTGGCAGGAACACATTTAAAAGAGTAAAAATGGGGCAACGCCCTCGGGTCCCCTCTCTCTGGGAGCTTTTCTTTCCTCTCAATAAATCCTGCTTCAAAAAATAAAATAAAATAGAAAAAAGGAATTTTTAAAAAACAGTACAAATGAAATAAATTAACCTACTTGTTTTCAACTTAGGGTTATTAATTAACACAATGTTTTAATTTAGACAAGTTCAAATACGTGTTTCTAAAACAGCAAAATAACGACAATAAGCTTTGTCAGTCTGGTCTCAATATTACCTGTGTGGCCTTAGGCAAGTTACTTAACTACCATCCCCCCTTCAGTTTCTTTCACAGTCACATGGAAATAACAGTATCTCCCTCCTAACAGTTAAGAGGAAGGGTTCCTAAGAGGAAGGGTTCTGAGTACAGTTGATGACTGAACCAAACAATACATTAAGAAGGGCCTAGCAAGCATGCATGTCATGTTACACTGGCACTAATCGATCATAATAAATATTAAGGGATTGTATTGTATACATTTATACAAATATAGGAAGCATGTTAGTGTATTCTTATTGGGAAACGTTTTGGAAAAGGGTAAATGCTTTATCAATCAAGACAATCAGAAGATTCGAATGTGTTATAACACTGTTAATGACTATCTTTACTCTGACTTTTCAAAAACTGTTTCTGTATCCCAGAGGGCTTACCACTCTGCTTACTACGCTATTTCCTACTCAGCTGCTCCTTTGCCTTCTTTTGGTTTAAGTGGAAGGAATTTGATTTCACATTATACTAGAGGACTGGAAGTTTTTCTTTAGAGAGTATGGTCTTCTGTGTGTCTGTGCATAGAGAACTATGAACAAATGTAGTAAAGCAAGCAAGCAGATTTCTCTATTAAAAACTTTTTTTTGGACTACTGCCCAGGCTGGAGTGCAGTGGCACACTCACGGCCACCACAGCCTTGACCTGCTGGGCTCAGGTGATCCTTCTGCCTCAGCCTTCCAAGTAGCCAGAACCACAGGCACATGCCACCACACCCGGCTAATTTTTTGATTTACTGTAGAGATGAGATCTCCACAAGTTGCCCAGACTGGTCTCGAACCCATGGGTTCAAGCAATACTCTTGCCCCTGCCTCCCAAAGTGCTGGGATTTCAGGCATGATTTACCACACCTGGGTACTAGAAGCTTAAACTGACATTAATCTAATGCAATGGGTAAACACTTTCCCCATTCTGATGTCCCATCACCAGAACAGCTAATGAATGAGGACTCTGGGTTCGTCAACTGTTTTGGTTTATGAAATTACAATATACGAGCCACTCCAATTAACAAATGAAGTAAAACACTCTTTACTAAATCTAAACTGTACCTAACATGTACTTAAATTCGTGTTCCATTAAATTTGGTTTAGAAGGCACTCTAAAATGTCACTAATTTTATACTGTAGGACTGTTTGGTGTTAACAGAGTCTGTTAGAATTCTACATTAGAGTCAGGTCAGGCCCTGATGGGCTGATGTCTGTAATCCCAGCACTTTGGGAAGTCAAAGTGGAAGGACTGCTTGAGCTCAGGAGTTTGAGACCAGCCTGGGCAACAAAGCGAGACCTTATCTCTCCAAGAAATTAAAACATTAGCCAGGCATGGAGGCGTGTACCTGTAGTTCCAGCCACTCAGGAGGCTGAGGCAGAAGGATCACCTAAGCCCAGAAGCCTGAGGCTGCGGTGAGCTGTGACCGTGCCACTGTACTGCAGCCTGGGTAACAGAATGAGACCTCTGACTCAAAAAAAAAAAAAAGAATTCTAGTTAAGAATGAGAGTTGATTTTCTTATCCAGCTAAATATAAATGGCAATCAATTGTATTGGTATCTGTGGGGGGTTTGTTTGCAGACCTCCTCAGATACCATGGATACCAAAATCTGCAGACGCTCAAGTCCTTTACATTGGTAAGAAATAGTGTCTTATTTGCATATAACCTATGCACAGCCCCCACACTAAAACTCTCTAGATTACTGACAATATCCAATACAATGTATATGCCATGTAAACAGCCGTTATATCAAATTGTTTAGGGAATGGTGGCGAGAAAGATTCTGTACATGCTCAGCACGGATGCAACTTTTTTCCTCTGAATATTTTTCATCTGCAGTTGGTGGATCCACGTATAGAGGGCCGACTGCTAAGGTAAGGGGCTGAGCCTTCATCAGAGAACTGAAAAGAACTCTGAAACGGCAAACTGCAAAGTCATACATCAAAACTAAATGAGAGGTGAAGCGCCACGTTTTGTGCTGCACTTTTAAAACAGAAAAGCCTGATACGTTAGAATCTTACAACTAACTTTCAAAGAAAAACACCTCCTCGTTAACACCAAACAGATCTGTTCCCATCTATAAAGCACAGTGACAATGTGCTTACGAGGAAGACACCACAGTCCTTTTTTTTTTTTTTTTGAGTTGGAGTCTCACTCTGTCACCCCGACTGGAGTGCAGTGGCCGCTCCCGGCCACCGCAGCCTTGACCTGCTGGGCTCCGGCGATCCTTCCGCCTCAGGCTTCCAAGTAGCTGCAACTACAGGTGCACACTACCACCTACAATAATTTTTTGATTTATTGTAGAGATGAGGTCTCGTCAAGTTGCCCAGGCGGGTCAAACCCACAGGCTCAGGCAATCCACTCACCTCAGCCTCCCAAGGCGCGGGATTACAGGCTGAGCCACCGAGCCCGGCTGACACCACAGTCTTAAGACTAACTTAGCAAGTCTTCCCAGAGTAGCGACGCCTCTGTCGTGAAACGATGCTTTAATTAATGGTCTCGCAGGCTGAAGGGAAACAATCTCATTTATAAAGAGGCTTCCACATGGTGAACGTCATAAGAAGCAAATTAGCAATGTAAAGCGCACATTTGTTTGTGGGAAGACATGAGGTTTCACTAAGTACAATCATCCTAAAAATGTATTTCCTCCTTAGGGAAGGATATTAATATTCAGACTACGACTGCAAATGCTAATACGTGCAAAATAATTACACTCTCCATCCTACACTTTGTTTACCACTGGTTCTCAAATGTTTACTTGTGCTTGACTCCTATCAACGACTTCTAATGCTGGTGCATCAAAAGCATGCTGGAAACGTTAACCTCATGCAAATGGGAACGGACTTTCCCTCTTCTGACATCCCACCACCAGAACAGCTGAAGAATGAGGATGGTGGGTTCATCAATTATTTTGGCTTATGTCATTACAACGTATGAGCCACATAACATTTCCAATGAACAAAACAAGTGAAGTAAAATGCCCTTTATGAAATCCAAACCCTACCTAACGTGTACTCAAATTTGTGTTCCATTTAAACCATGCTTTGATGGTTTAGAAGGCACTCTAAAACATCGTTCATTTCGTACTGCAGGACCGCTGGGAGTGTTAATAGCGTCTGCTGGGATGCTAAACAAGAATCAGGCCGGGAGCGGGGGCTCACGCCTGTAACTCCAGCACTTTGAAGGTTTACACGTGCAAAACAGTTTCACTCCCCATCCTACACTTTGTTTACCGCAGATTCTCGGAATGCTTCCTTGTGCTTCCTGACCCCTACCAATGACGTCTGACGCTGGTGAATCCAAAGCCTGCCTGAATCGTTCCTCCAATGCAGTGGGAATAGACTCCGCGCCGCCCCATTCTGAGGTCCCAACAACAGAACAAAGGATCCGGGGAGGAAAGAGTGCAAGGCTGGAGGTCGGTAACGGGACCCGACGGGGGCCCAGCCGGGCGGGTCCACAGGCTTCCCGCTCTCGAACGAGCAGGTCCTGTCTTCCTTGACAGCGTGCTCCTAGAAGCCATCGCCCAAGCCCGCCTTGCAAGCGTGGGGTTTGCACAGCACTCACGACACTGCACCTGCAAGTGTTTTACGACTCGCGGCAGCTCCGTCTGTTACGTAACCTACCCCCGCCCCGAGCCCGCGTCGGGAGGATCGCTTCCACGGCACCCTCGCCGGGGCTGGGAGGGGTCCCAGGGCTCGCCCACCCCCCAGTATCGGTCCGTGTGAGGTGGCGGGGGAAGGAAGGAAAAAAAGGAGTCCGTGTGTGAGGCAGGGGGCGGGCTCTGCGGAAGAGTACGCGCGTCGGGACAAGCGCGCCGAGTGTGGACGAAGCCGGGACGTGCGTGCAGGTGTCGGGCCGGGAGGGTCGACGGGTCCCACCTGGGGAGCGCGTGTGCGGCGTTTCGTCGTCTGCGCCCCGGGCCTGTCCGCGTGAACAGAGGAGGCTCCCGGCAGCCGCCAAGACCCTGACGCCTTCCCC